CATATGAGGCCGAATGCGCTGAATGTTCTCACACATCCTAAACATTCCAAACATGAGGAACCAGTGGCAGAGTGACGTGATTGGCTGCTGACCTTTCCGTTCAGAGCGTTCATGGCGGTGATGGCGTCCTCTCTCTGAGTGAAGTGGACGAAGGCGTAGTCTCTGATCTTCTTCACTCGCTCTACTGCACCTGCAACACAAGAAAACCACATTTTCATCTTTGTACGTCATCTGGAGCCACAGAGTCTCCGTTATTAGATCTCATACCTTCATTTCCTTTACATCAAAGTCATCAAGTGAGTTTATAAAAATCAGCCTCCAGAGACCTGATTTATTTTGGTGTGATGCCGCTGCTGCCTTCAAGGACAGTCGGACATCAGAGCTTCAGATGTTGTGCTTCAGTACCTGGTTTAAGGCTGTTGAACTCCTTCTCGATGGTCTCCTCAGTGGTCTGCAGCATCAGGTTCCTCACGTACAGGATCTTCACCGTTGCCATGGTGTCTTCATCCACCTCCACCTCAGGCTCCGCCCAGTCCACGGCGATGGCATGACCCCACAGCTGGATACGACCTGGAAGACACGGCAGGTGACTAGATACAACCTGAGAGAGGATAGGTGACTAGATAGGACCTGAGAGAGGACAGGTGACTAGATGNATCCACCAATCAGAGCTCAGAGCTGAGGGGCGTCAAAACACAAACAGCGACCAGATGCAGGAGATCCGTCGGACGGTTCAGCTCTGAAGAGTTTAACCTCAGCGAGTCAGAACCGCATCAGAACCGCATCAGAACCGGATCAGAACCGGATCAGAACCGGATCAGAACCGTCACGTTTACGGGTTGATGTCTCTCAATTATCAGACATGAATTGAACTCAAATTCTTCTTCTTCTACAAATATTACGTCCAAATGATAAAACACTCAGTAAAACATAAATTCTTATGAATTTAAGAAGAAAATCAGTTTAAACTCCAGGAGATCTGAGATTTCACATCACACGTGATTTCTGATTAAATCATGAGCTTCAGATTTAAATCAGACCAAACAGAAGACGTTCAAAACAGTTTAAACGATGACGTTGGACTGAAACCGAACGTCTGCAGCTGAACAGGTTTCAGATGTGATCAATGACTGAAGGATCAATCGGCAGCTGATCGTGTCTGAGCGTCCTTTCATCCAATCAGCTGTGGCTTTAGCCCCGCCCCCAACACGCCGTCATCTCCTACGACTCCCAGCATGCCCTTCACCTCAGCGCTGCGTTTTGAAGGCGTTTGGTTGGCTGAACGTGTTTGAAGACGCCACAGAAGGTGACTGGTCTGTTCAGCAAAGACAACGTTTGGTTTAAAGCTGCAGACTCGGGCTGAACCGACCAGAACCGACCAGAACCAGCGTCTCTCTGAGACTAACGTGTTTATGGCAGATCTATGAGCAGCTTGAACACCACACTGCTCCGTCTGGCCTCCTCTTGTGGCTGAACTAAGACGGGGAAGCCGGCTGAGGACCAGTTTGGATCTTGTCCGGTGTTTAAGTTCAGCTTCGGGCCTCAGGGACCAAAACATCCACCAGAGAAACCTGAGTCTCATTTCATCTTCTTGCTTTATTTATGAATGAACTTCAGTTGATTCTGAACTGTCTCATGAAGCTGCTGCTCTGAATATCGGACTCTCTTCCTTCCTGTGTTCTGACGTCTGTCAGCTGTTGGTTGTCGTTGTGGAAGCTGCAGATCTTCTGGTTTACACGTCGGAGCCTCGGAGCGACGGCAGCGCTCAAATGGACAAATTAAAAGGAACACTCATTCACTCTGAGCACATTAACTAACATGTTATTATCACACGTATGTGTTCTACGTCCTGGAACATGAGGCCGGTGTGATCTGTGACGTCAACCATCAGCACAAAGTTCAGATGAATGAAAGTCAGATTAAATCAGAACTCAGTGTCCGGACGTGGAATCAAAGTGAAAAACCGTCGTCATGTTCAGATACATGAGAAAATTCAAAAACAATAGAATCAGTGAATTAATGTTAACTCGTAAAGTCGGTAATAAATCCAGTATCACACATTAAAGCTACTGTTTTACTTGATTAGTGAATATTAAATGGATTCTAATGATTAAATTGTCATAACTCTGATTATTTAATCCCTGAAAAGCACAACAGTCTGAATGTCTGCAGAGGACTGACTGATTAAAATGAGCCTCATGTTGTTTTTGCTGGACTTTGCTGTTATTTCAGATAAACAACAGAAGAGCTCGTTAGGTTTTCATGTTACGGTTAATTACTGAATAAATCATCATGAAAGGTTTATAATTCAGCTTCTTCTTGGATAAAAGATCCTCTCAGGTGTGTTTAAATGTTCTGTTCTGATGAGTTCTGTGGATGCAGGACGTTCAGTTGAGGTTTGAACTGTTTACAGATAATTACAGTGAAGCTAATCAGCGTCCCGTAACGTTGAAGAGTTCATTTAAGGCACAGTTTCAATGTTTCCTGTTTCTGCGGCTCTGAAGTCACATTCTGGGCCGAGTTTGTGCTGCTGCAGCCCGGAGCTCTGCTCAGAACATCAGAACATCAGAACATCCGTCTGTTTGCTCTCTTCGCTGCTTTCAGCGTCTGAAGCTGCACCAACGAAGAAGACATCCTGCCCAAAACGCTAAAGTTAGAGCCAAAAAGAGTCAAACTCACCTGAGCAATTTCAGGATCACCTCCGTCCGATCAGAGAAGAGTCATTCTGAGCGTGTTCACGTGTCGTCAGGTGTGTGTGTGATCACATCATATCAAACTCCAAAGGTTCACTGTCCTGCTGTTAATGTTTAACGGCTGCTATCTGGGGACACACACATGCAAATACACAACACACACACTGCAGCCCGGCTCTGTGTGTGTGTGTGTGTGTGTGTGTGTGTGTGTGTGTGTCCTTTGACCGACTCTATCTGGATCACAGCGTCCTGCTCAGGTCTCTTCACCTACTAACACAAACACACATGTTCTATTTTTGTGAGGACCTTCACTGACACAGTGTGTTACCGGAACCCTAAACCTGAATCTAAACCTGAATCTAAACCTGAATCTAAACCTGAGCCTAAACCTGAATGGAGACCTGAAGCTGAACCTGGATCTAATCTGACTCTAGATGTGATTCATAAACCTTTAGCTGTAGTTGAGCTGCAGAGATTCGGTTTCAGCAGAAAACACACTGCACAGGTCAGTGAGCCTTTAAGGCCTGAGTTCTGTCTGCAGGGCTCCACTCTGCACCCTCATGTAGCCTGACAGGCAAAACTTGGGGTTTCAAAAAAAAATCTCAGCTTGAAGCATGTTTATTCACGGAAAATCCAAATAATATGAAGTTTAGTTTATTGTGATGATTGATTGATCAGTTTGAGTCCCGTTTTATCTTCTGTGCTTCAGCTCCTTCAGTGTGAGCGTTTCCTGGTTCCTTCGCTCTGTGACGATAAACTGAAGATCTTTGGATGAAACAGAATCTGTTTAACGTTTAAAACACGTTCAGCACGAGAAGATAAAAGATGAAGCGACAGCTTAAACATGAACTCACAGACGGCAATGTTTTGTTTTTATAAATACACTTCTGGGCTTTGTGCCTTTATTCAGAGCAGCAGAGAGACCGGAAGCCTGGAGGGAGAAGAACCGGGAGAGACCTGCAGCAAAGGGTCGTGAGCCGGAGTCCAACCCGCGACGGGGAGCTATAGCTAGCTACGGATAACTACAGCTAGCTAAAGCTGACTATAGCTGCTAACTGTAGCTAACTATCACTAACTACAGCTAACGATAGCTAACTACAGCTAATTACAGGTAACTATAGCTAGCTTAATCCAACTACAGCTGTCGACTATAGCTAACTACAGCTAACNATGCTAACCACCGAGACACCTGCAGGCCTCATATTCTTGTGTTACCTGATCTTGACTTGAATCTTATCACACTTCCTATAAAATGTGTTCATAGTTCAGATGTCCTGATCAGAGTCACTTTATAGCTGCTGTCTGCAGATACAGAGGTCCAATCTGATGCCACCTTCCTGATAACACACACTTCAAGTACATATAATTATTAAAGTTAATCCAGTGTTTCTGCCAAACAACTACACACGTGGAAAACAACTGTTGGTAGCCGTCGGTTAATGAAAGAAAAACCCACAGAAACAACTTGAATCTGACAAAAGTAATAATAAATAAAAATTCAGTGAAAACTAACCAATGGAAACCAGACGTTGGTTTTGAACCGTGGTTCAACAGAATTATTTAAAAAATAAACTCATGAAACAGGCCTGGACATAAATGATGGTACCTCTAGAAAGGACTGAAAACAATGTGACCACAGGGACATGTTCAATCAAGGTGTGTCCTCTAATCAGCATCACAGGTGTCTACAGACGTGTAACCAGTCAGTGGGCCTGTTTATAGGGTTACAGGTGGTCACTGTGCTGTTTGGTGACCTGGTGTGGACCACACTGAACATGGACCAGAGGAAGCCAAGGAGAGAGTCGTCTCAGGAGATTAGACAGAACATGATAGAGCAGCATGTTAAAGGTAAAGGCTGTCAGACCATCTCCAAGCAGCTGATGTTCCTGTGACGACAGCTGCTCACATTATTCAGAAGTTTAAGATCCATGGGACTGTAGCCGACCTCCCTGGACGTGGAGGAGGAACACTGATGACAAATGGAAGAGACGATAATACGAACGGAACCAAAAGAACCCAGAATGACCTGTAAAGACATTAAAGGTGAACTCCAAGGTCCAGGTCCATCAGGGTCAGATNGATTGTGAAATACCACTAAGTAATGCTAACTACAGCTAGCTAGAGCTAACTATGACCCTGTTCATAGGTCACCTGCGAGGTGAGCTGTAGCGACGCCCGACAGAAATGTTTTAACAGATCGTAGTTTCTTGAATATATTTTTAGAAAACAACGATATTCTTAAATAATGTTCAATAAAGAGCGAACAGTGATCGTGTTGAGTTCCAGCTTCGTTGTTCGGGTTGATTCTGCTGCTGTTCGGATCCGACAGACAGAACTCAACAACACAAACACAACAGCTGAACACAACGAAGGACTGTAAAATGCAAATGAATGACCAGAAGACTTCCTGCTGCAGAGACACCAACAGGCTTCTGCTTTCTGTATTTTCCTGTTTGGTAAAACATTTCAAATCCTGCATCGACATGTGAACATGAATTTCCTGAAGGTGCTGCTGAAGTAGAACCAGACTGTTCTGAGCTGTTGGTTCCTTTGCTTCATTTAATGTGCACATAAACTATCAGCTGATGGTCTCCTGCATCATGAAGCTCTCGGATCATCTACAGCTTCTCGCTTTATTAGAAATGACAGAAATAATCCTGCTGCTGCTTCTGTTGCAGCTCAGTCAACTTAAAGAGTTTTTCTTTCAGATTTGAACAGATTTACTTCAGTTTATCTGCAGCAGCACGAATCGGCTCGTTTACGATCTACCGGTCTGAGTTTGTTCGTTTTAATCAGCTCCAGATTAAATCCAGGTGAGTGAATCCCGACTCCTAATCTGAGTTTGTCGCCTCAGCAGGTTTTAGTCAGAACGAAGCTTCACGGCCTCAAACTCATCTGCAAACATTTAGATAATTATTTCATAAATACATGAATGAAAGCAAAAGTCCAGGTTCTGTGACTTCAGCTCCTTAAACGTGAACATGTTCTGGTTCTCTGCAGGTCTTTGGACTAAACAAGAACCGGATGGACGGCTGCTGTGACGGCGACGCCCTGTAGGTTCATCAGAACCACATGAAACCAGAACAAAGCGGAACCAGAGACAGGATGGTTTCAGTGGATCCGTCTGGTTGAGGCTGTTTCTGTCTCTGCAGGACTTTGTGGTCATTTGATCGAACGTCCAGCAGAACTCTTTAGAATCAGAGTGAAGCTGAGTCCAGGCAGCGGATCAGAACCATCACGTCAGACTTCAGGTGACCAAAACCAGCTGAACGTGGTTTGTTTTACAGAATCGATCCGGTCCCTGCGGCCCGGTAGGAAGACGTGCTGGTGTTTGACAGGTTTTGTTCAGGCTGTAGTGACGCTGGTCAAACAGCAGGTGGAGCCAAAACACTCCGGCTGAACGTCCTGCTTCAAACTGGAGGGTCTGAAAGCTGCTCTCAGATCAGCTCGTCGTCGTGTTCCGGCGGGAGCCCAGATCCGTGCAGGAGGACGGCGGCAGCATGAGCTGGACCTCCATCCAGTTCTGACTCCACGGTAACAAACCCAACAGGGTGCTCCGATCAGCACCGGGAGGAAAACCCACAAACACAAAGACACTCGGACTCGTGTAACGGGATGGACGTTAAACTCACAAGTTTTCTCCACTAACATATCAGATCTTTAACCGGATCGCAGCAGCTTCAGGAACCAGATTCTGAGTCCAAACTGAACCAAAACCACCAGCTGTCCTCCTGACCCGAACCCTCATTCCTGTTTTATGGCTGAAGAGAAAAGACAGGACTTGTGTAAACACCTGAGTTCGCTTGTGGCTCTCCTGAGCTGCTATCAGTGCTCGTTTGGACCCTCTGAGCTGCAGGTTCTGGTTCATTTGGACTCACTGTGGCTCCGCAGGAAGGAGGAGAGAGAACTCAGATACTTGAGTCATTTTACGGACCAATCAGCGTTTGTGGTAAATATCAATAAAGATTTTTCATGTGGACATTTTCACAGTTTAGTGGTTCTGGCCGGTTTTAACATGTCAAGTAGAACTTTTAATGTGTGACTTTGCTACATGGTGCCTGTCATCCAGGAGCTGAAGCCTGCAGAACACCAGAACACCAGAACACCAGAACATCCTGCAGCTGACAGCTGAAGGTTTCCGGGTTGCTCCTCAGTCGGGGGTCTTCGGGGGGCTTCATCTCCTCTGGACCCTTCAGTCCTTCGGTTCGGCCCTGAATCACAGCTGAAGCGGCTTTTTCCTGCACTTGGACTCAAGCAGGAGTCCGCTGGAGTAAAAGCAGCTGCTGCTGATGAAGAGGAGGAGAACTTTCGGCTCCGCTCGGCTCCGCTCGGCTCCGCTCGGCTCAGTGTTAACCTAATTGGACTAATGAGCTGACCGGGACCGGACCAGCGGATCTTCTCCGCAGAGCCTCTTCCCGCCGCTTCTCTCCGCTTCTCTCCGGCTCCGTGTCGGCTCGGTTCCAGCCGAACCTCCTCCGTTCTCCGCGGCTCCGGACCAGACGGAGGAAAGTGTCGCTGCTGCTGGACTCCTGCAGCTTTCTGTCGCCGAATCAAAGCTCCGGAGGTTCGATCCGGATTCTGCAGTGGAACTCGGAACCAGCGTGATGTGATGTGAGAACCAGCAGAAGCAGCGGAACCAGCCGCTGTTCGTCGGAGCGCAGAGCCGCCGGTTCTGGTTCTGTTTCTACTTTGTTTTACTCACTTTTCTCACATTTGGCCACAGACCTGCTGCTTCTGCCTTTTGCCTGCCTGGTTCTCCTGGAGATGTTCTGAAGGTTCTGCAACGGCTCCAGTTTTGTTTTTATTGATGTTTGGACCAGAGAGGAACCGGAGGAACCGGAGGAACCGGAGGAACCGCTGATCCTCTGCTTCTACTGTCACCGTGTTTTATCACCTGAAGTCACTTTTCTTTTCTTGGAAGAGAACGAAGAAGTTCTGGATCTCTGAGGAACCCAGAGCATTTTAAGGATGGCATCTGGACTCACAGGAGAACCGTCTGGATACAGAAACCAAGTTCTGGTTTTTTGTCGTTGTTGTTTTGGCTTTCTG